ACTTTGAGGTCTGGTCTAAACTAGCACTCAACAAGCAGCAGAAATGGTCTAAAATGGAGGCTGGCCGCACTTGGGCGCCCATTAAAAGTCTCACTGGAAAAGACAACAGCGTCGAGAATGGCTGGAGGCAACGGGAAGAGAGGAAGACCAAGGAAGGGAGGGATTTGTCTGAAGAAGTGGACTCGTCCACCAAAGCTCTCACGTTAAAATACTGCAGTTAGTCTTTAAGGTGCCACAACATTTTGGTCTCTTTTTTTTGTAAATTTATGTTTTAGCCCCACATGAGAGATGAATTGATGAAGCCACGTTTTAGGAGAGCCGGGCTGCTGACTGGTGTTCACTGTTAAGACGCTTTGGAGGTCTCTCATAGCATCTGGTTAGGTAGAATCCACAAGAGCAGAGAAGGACAGCAAAAAGTGCTTCTGAACAGAGGTCAAGGGCACCGAACGGTTTTTACAAGACAAGGAATCCCACCACTTGGGCACATATAAACCATCAGCTGATGCCACTGTCTTTCTTCCAGGAGGGCCTCACAGTGGAGGCCAGCACTGATGGGATATCCCATTTGTGAGTGGTTTACTCCTCCACACAGCAGTGGATGCCTGCGTGAAGAAAACATGGCATGCCAGGATCAGAGGTAGTTTCTCTCCCCACGTTTGCTTCTTGTTTGGATGGAATGGAGGGAAGCAGTGGTTGGTTCTGGCCTTCTTGGTTCCAGGGAAACTTCCAGGATATACCATATGAGGGGGCTGCTCTTTGAATTGAGGGGAGAGAAAACACCCCCCCCGACATCATAAGCAATACCATCTTGTTTATGACATGAGCTTTTCTGATACTTTCCACCAGATGCGTGGAAGAGTTAGCCAGAATTTCAGGCAAATATACAGTATTCCTGGATTGAGGCAAGGGTGTAGAACTGTTGAGGTAAGAGGAAAATGGGATGTGTGAAGTAGTGATACAGTAGTTACTTTGTCCACACTGACCAGCCACCCAACTGCCCCCTGCGATATAAATATCTGTACACTTGGCAAGTTAACTAAAACATGCTGTGTGCTCTTTTAAAAGAAGTTAAAAAGATCCAATCTTCACTGGTGATAAAACAGAACATGAATTGTAATTCAGCAATCTCTTGCTGTAACCCCCTTTTGGCATTTCTTTGCTTCATTTACCATCACAGGCAGAAAGTCCTGGAAAGTTAAAGGGTTCACTTTTAAAAAAATTCTAACCTTTCTGGTATCAAATGTGTGCTCATTTATCTTTAGGTCTATCTGCCCTATGCAGAAAAGCACTGCTGAGATGACAGTAATAAACTCATGTCCCTCACATTAGGGGATCCATTTACTTGCTCTGTGCTGTTTATTCAATTTTCTTTCAGCAGAGCCCTTCTGCATTCTCTATAGTGCATTTTACAGATTCATTGGTTCAGATTCAGGAATGTATGTCTAATAAATTAAAGCCATTCCACAGGGCACAAGACTTGGGATGACAGCATTCTTAACAGCTACAGCAGCTTAATATGTTCTATCATATTAAAAAGTTCCTATGGGTAACAGATGCAATGTCACGATGTATGGAAGAGAGCTGGACCATAAAGGCCACCTAGAGTGGTCTGGTAATCCAGATAGGTGGGGTATAAATCAAATAAATAAATAAATAAGGCGGCTGACCGCCGAAGAATTGATGCTTTTGAATTGTGGTGCTGGACGAGGCTCTTGAGAGTCCCCTGCAAAGAGAACAAACTTATCCATTTTGAAGGAAATCAGGATCTGTCCGTCCAGTGCTCACTGGACGGACAGATCCTGAAACTGAGGCTCCAATACTTTGGCCATCTCATGAGAAGAAAAGACTCCCTGGAAAAGATCCTGATGTTGGGAAAGTGTGAAGGCAAGAGGAGAAGGAGACGACAGAGGACGAGATGGTTGGACAGTGTCATCAAAGCAACCAACATGACTTTGACCAAACTCCGGGAGGCAGTGGAAGACAGGAGGGCCTGGCGTGCTCCGGTCCATGGGGTCACGAAGAGTCGGACACGACTTAATGACTAAACAACAATGGGTAACAGAAGTGGCTGGATAGCTGAGAGAGTTAGGTATTTGGCTGGAATGGTTGGACTTTCAGTTCCCCATTGAGCTTCCTGTGAATAAAACCAGCCTGTGTGGCCTTTGGCAAGCTGTATGGTCCCAGGATGCCCCCAAAAGAAGGGAACGGTAAGCCACTTCTGAGTACTCGACCTAGAAATCCCTGAAAAGGTTAGCATAAGTCAGAAATGACTTGGCAACACACTGTTTTGTAATAAAATAGCACACCAGTGAGAACCATGTCAGATTGCGATTTTTTGGTTTACTATATTTGACGTACTTCTTTAAAAACGGACATACTCCATAACTCCCATTTAAAATTGTGTAATAAATGTTTTTCAGCATAAGAATGTTACAAAGAATACAAATATCAATATGCTATGGCAATAGAAGGCAATGGAGTGTTACAAATTAGAAAAGCAACTGGAAATAAAGCTGCCAAGTATCATAATGCCTTTATACAGTGCCACATTTGCACACAGGCAAAGTAAGCTCTAGTTTAGAACCCCAGGTTATGAGGGGCTCCCTAAATAAAGGGGAAAAAGTTAAATTTTTAAGTTTTATGATTGGTTAAAAAAAGAAAGTAGTGAAACAGACAGTAGAACAATTTTCTTATTTTGTCCCCCTCTTTTTCGTGTACCCATGGAGCTTCTTTAACTTGACACAGCTTAGGACCAACCACAGCATGTCTTAACACAGCCCTACAGGAATCAAGGACCCCTCCATCACGTGTGGACTCAGCACCAGTTGACAGCTCCCATCCCTTCAGCTACCAATTGCCAAATGAAACCACTAGAGGAGATGGAGCAGCTGCCCTTCCATTTCCTTTTTATTGCCCATTCTTGCTCTTGCTCTGTTCACATCCTATCCTTAGAACAACTTTCACAGACTGAGACACTGAACCACTGAAGATGAGCAGATGAACTGGAAGGGTAGAAAGGCATAAGGGTTTGAAGTGATCTCAGTGAGTAGGCTACGCAGAGACTGCATCAAAAGTAAAGGATTAAAAAGGAAGATCGCAGGGGTCTGCAAGGATAGAAAATGTAGATGTTTCTGCATTTCAGATTTTTCTGCTGATTTGTTATTACAGTACTTTGTAATTTAAGTTTTCAGCCTGTGCACCAGAGAACTTGTTATTGTGTTGCTGAACTTTTCAATAAATAAACAATATAAATAATTATTGAAAAGTCAAGTTAATTGTCTCTTGTGAACTGTCTTAGAAGGCCTTTACTTTGAGCAGTGCTGTGTAAACAAAGCTAGAGCACTGCTGATTTTAATATACTATATAATTTGGCCTGCCCCATTTTAAAGAGAATGTTGTAAAGTTTGGGGGGGGGGGAGAAGAGCAACAAAATGACAAAGGACCTTTTTTAGTGAGACTGGGACTTTCTATAGTTTAACCATGCTGCATTTCCAGTGAGGTATCAGATATAAATACCATTAGAATTTCAGCACTTACATATATCTGAAATATTTCCCCCTTCAATGACTAATAGCTGGAACAAAACAAAACATTATTTTTGGTATCTGAAATTTTTTTCCCCAATTGAGTAGGTAACAACTCCACATCAATACTGGTTCAAAGAATTTTTAAAAGAAAGAGAAGACAACATGAACTTTGGCTAATCCATTGAGAACTGTGAGAAAAAGCAACACATCGTTGTATAAGTGTACATCATACATTTATTACTGAACAACCCTCTCAACTCCAAAATCGGGCACAGGGATTAAAAATAAAAATTCATTGCACTACTTAGTAAAGCATTACTAGTAACTCTCATAAAAAATGTACAAATTTTGTTAAAAATTTATCAAGCCTTCAAATGATTTGGTTACAGATATTTATAATACATTTAAAACTACATGTTAAATGATAAAATGGAGTATGATTTTTAAAGAAAACACTTGACAAATAAGATTCTAACAAAACCCATAAGCTTTCAAAATCATCAGCAAGTTTGCAACACAAAATAGCAAATGAGGTAACTGAAGGTACCAAGGGGAGAGGGGGGTGCAGGGTGAGAGAGAACCACAGCTCCCTTACATAGGCTGACCAGTAACAGAGTTTATAATGAGTTTTCAGAAAGCAAAATAAACAGTTGATAAATGCAAAATATTACAAGAGATGGAAATGTTAACAATTGCAACAAATTATCACATTCTGGAGACTGTACAAAAACTTTATACAAAAGAAATTACTTTGCACAAAATAATCTGTAAAGAAAGCCACAAAGTGAGACCTTAAAGATATTCAAAAGGCCTTTATACCCATTTTTTTTAAAAAGCCAGGAGAAATTAAGTTGACAATTCATGCAAATAAAACCCCAACAGTGCCAACATGATAAAGCCAACTTTTTTTCTTCCTTTAGCGGGAGAGGTAGGGATCAGGGGGAGCAGGCTATCCAACAAAATCTGGTGCTGTGGAAATCAGACATACAAATGTGCATATAACACATGGCAATTAACAGCTGAGCACAAATCCCCTTTTGTTTAAACTGCCAACAGCAATGAGCTAAAAGCTCCACTGCAGCCAGACTGAGCTGGTGCAGAATGCATGCATGTGTGTCTCTTACACACTTAACACCACAGGAAACGGATCCGCACACATCTGTCCCATGCAAACAAAAGCTGTTCGTAGGAGAGATGAGCCACAGGAGTGCAACACTAAACTTTAGTACACCAAAGTGGTACCTACTGCAGCCACTACCCTTCTACCGACAGTCTTGGCTCAACTGAAGCTGGGAACCATGGGACAGATGCTGCCCTGCATGGCAGATCCAGAGTCAAGGCTGAGGTGCCACTTTTCAAAATTAAGTTATTATGTGCCTTGCCTCTCTGTTAGAGAAAGTGCCTCATACCAATGCTTTGACAGTAGACACTGAGTCGGGCGGTGTAAGGATTAGATTTCTACAGGTAAAAATCTCTTTGTCCAGCAATATAAAAAAGACCCAAAATACTGTAAAACATGTGTGGCTTCCCCCACCCCACTTCCCAACCCATGATTTTGTCTGCTTAAAAAAATAAAGTTTACTATGTGCAATTTAACCTTTCTGACATGTTGGAACAATTTGTTAGAGCCCACAGAGGGGAAAGTTGTAACAATCTGTCACACAAAAAGTATGTTAGAACTGTTCTATTAATGTTAAATTCTCAGCCCTATGGACAGACTAAGGCGTCTTAGCTACTAAACAGAGGCAAACAGTATCTGAAATGGCGGGGAGGGGAGTGTGAGGTGGTGGGTGGGAATTGTGCTTTTTAGTTTTTGCAGAACCACAAGCTGTGACTGTTCAGCAGAACCTTCAGAAAGAAGGATGATGATTCACAACCAGCACTGCTCTGGAGGAATAAGCAAACTTAACATATAGCAGCATATAAAAAGCATTTAAAAAAGGACACAGAAGGAACTTAAAGCTGTCTGACAACAGGCTGCAGCAATACTTGCAGTGCTTGTGCTGTTGCAACCAAAGACTGAGTTGTTTTGGTGCTCAAAACACCGGATTGGTGGCGGTAGGGGAGGCGAGGCAAAATTCCACAAAGAAAATATGCATCTCTTAAAAACCATTAACTATGTGTAGACAGTTCTATACTGAAAAAAAATTAGAAAGGCCAAGTCTGAAATGTTAAGCAATGCCAATTTCCCCCCAATACATTATAATTCAGAAGGCAGTTGAAAGGAGGTCAACTCCAGATTCACAGCATTTATTATTATTTTTTTCCATGATTCTGTATACCAACCCATTCTTGTACATGAATATTATTCATACTACCCATACAACACTGAGGATGTCTCAACATTACCAAAACAAAAGAAGAAGAAAAGAGAAAAAAGCCAGCTATATTAAGTACAGCAAGTTGGAAACTATATCCTGTGACACTTTTGCCAGGCAGTGAAGTCTTAAGATGTTACCAAGGCTAGGGCAGGGTGGGGGGGTTAGGGCACACGTTCTACCTCTAAGAAAGTGCTAAGAATTATTCACGAGGTTGAAGGCTTTTAAAAAAGAAGACCATCTCTTTCTTAAAAGCCATTTTAGTTGGACATGTGGACTTGCCATGAGGCAAGGAATGTGAGTTAGTCTCAGTGGTTATAAGCTAAATTAAGCAGATATATATTGCCAACAATACAAGAAGCACTTGCACAAGACTCTCCAAGGTCCTCTCCATTTTTATGGGGAAAAACAAAACAAAATCCAGAAACAAGCAAAACAACTTCTTGTGTTACTCAAATCAAAATCCAGCTTCAATGTTCAACAGGAAAAAAATGAATATTGGCTGGAAGAATTTTAAAAGGAAGAGAGGACAACATAAAATGTCAGTGATCAGTTGAGAGTTTTTAATATTGCTACCTGACTGTGCAATGCTGCAGCTCCTCATAAAGTCAGCCATGAACTGAAATTTATCTTTAAAACCATGGAAATTTCAGTTGCCTCAAAACATGGCTAAGTACGTATTTGTGATAACTTAGGAATCAAGATGCTCTACAATGACAGACATCACATCTCCAATGAATGGGAAGTATAATAGTTGCCTGAATAAAAGCAAAGAGGCCTTTTTATACTATTAAATACATGGGGGGAGAGATGAACTATCAAATGTCTATAACTGCTGCACCCTTAGCATTCAGTGTGCAACTGCAAACTCAAAGAAAGAAACCAGTGTACAGTACTAGTACTGCTTAAATAACACACAAGATTATACATTGCAGCATAATTAATACTACACACATACATCCTCAATACATGCTGGTATATAAGTTCTCTCACACTCTACTGTCCAAACACTTGCTCACCCGCATACACACAGACACCCTGCGATCAACGCACCCACCCGCACCATTTACTCCCACTCACAGTATTTGAAGGCTCTATATAAGGTAGATTGCTATATTGTTTGGAGCTACCACTTTTTTAATATAAAAGCACATGCTAGAAGATCACGTTCCACTGTAATCTCGCAGCAACACTCGGAATGATCACACAAAAACCAGGGAATGTTAGTGCACACACGAAATTAAGCTAAAAGAAAAAAAATAATCTTTGGAGTTCCAATCACACAGTTAGTATAACAATCCCATAATTGTGAAGACTAATTATAAGCTTTATAGTTGATTAAATCACACAGTGCAAAGAAAGGTCCATTGACCCTTTTGTATAAGGGAAGGCTGGAAGCCACACGGTTTAAGTTCAATGGAGAGTTCATATACGTATATATATACACATGTGACTAGGAACACCCAAAGTAGAATTGTGCTCTTAGACTGGTCATTCTGAATCACGATGCACTTCTGAAGCATCAGCTCTGCAGATAGGGCAGGTACGATTTGCCTGGAAAGTAAAAAAAAGAGGTTTTACAGAACTGGCATGTTACAATCACATCCAAAAATGGTACAGAAAAGAATAAAGTTTCAACAAGTGGTCGCTACAACTAACCCTCATGGTTTCCCAAGACTGCCAAGATTAGTCCTGATTACTAAGAATAAGCCACACATAGTAAGGGAAATACACATTTTCCCCAACTCCAAAACTTACAACTTTAAAAACATGAGAAGTACCTCAGGTTCAGTTTAAAACGGCACAAAGCAGTCAAGATAATTCAAAATATCCCAGGAGATATATTTATAGCAAAACACACTTTAAAGTATACCAAGATCCTGAGATTCTTACACTGACACCCCATAGTTTTTGAAATTTCAACATTATGTATTGCTGTCATGTTTTAATCAGATCCTATATGGAGCTGCAAAACTGCATTCTAACATGTTAGGTATCAGTTTTAGGAATTCTCTTTGACCAGGTTACAGTGATACTTTCAATATGCAATAAATAAACAAACAAACAAACAAATAAAATACAATAAGATAAAATAAATGAACTATTGCGGCTGGCATTCTTGCCACTTAAGACATCAGTATGTGATGTTATATACTATATGGAGCTGCAAAACTGCATTCTAACAACAAGGCGAATGATTGAGTGAAATGATGTTACCATGTTAGGTATCATTTAGGAATTCTCTTTGACCAGGTTACAGTGATACTTTCAATGTACAATAAATAAACAAACAAACAAACAAACAAATAAAATACAATAAGATAAAATAAATGAACTATTGCGGCTGGCATTCTTGCCACTTAAGACATCAGTATGTGATGTTATATACAGGGAGATACAGCAAGAAGGAATAATTGCCATAAATAAATAAAAATTACAAGCAGCACACACACATCCAAATTACCTGGAGTGGCAGCACCTTTTTTGTCTGCATAGTGTACTTGGGCTTTCAATTAATGTACAAAACTGATGTGGAAACAATTCCACAACCCTGATCATTACATAGTTCTCAACTACTTGGAGTACTTTCCTAGGCTTTGTAGAAAGAAATGGTGGCATCTAGTGGTAATGTCTACAAACTGCAGCAAAACAACACAAGTACAGTGGTGCCTCGCTTAGCGAGCACACCGTAGAACGACGAATCTGCATAGCGAGGACGTTTTCGTGATCGCTAATGCGATCGCAAAGCGATGGCCTCTATGGCCGAAAATCGCATAGCGAAGGGCGGTAAGCGGTTCGCTTACTGACCTTCGCTTTGCGACCCACAGATCAGCTGTTCGGCGGCTCCAAAATGGCCACTGGAAGCCCTGAAATGGCCGCGCGCAGCGTTTTCGCACCCTCGCTAAGCGAGGGGAGGGCGCGAAAATGGCTGCCGGCCATAGGGAAGCATCGCTCAACGGTGAGTTTCGGGGCCCATTGAAACGCATAAGTTTAATGCGTTTCAATGAGTTTTTTCGTTTCGTTGAGCGATGTTTCCCATAGCGAGGGTTAATCCGGAACGGATTAACCTCGCTATGCGGGGCACCACTGTATATGACTTTACATGTAACCAAAGTTACAAATAATGTATGTAAACTGTCTACACTACACAAAGCAGCCAGAGTCCAGCAGAGTGATTCTGCTGATACAAGACTATCCATCAGCAGGACTTGCATCCCTGAGAAAGCTGGGAATTTTTTTAGGCTTGTTTTTCAAAGGGCTGTGACAGAGATGGGGGCGAAGAGGTATGAAAATTCTATCTGTGCTAGTTGGGCACTATTTGCAATCACAGTTTTAAGGCCACTTATCAGAAGACTCTTCAGTTCAAAAGTTTTAGGATCTGCCACTGTAGTGGCACAATGGCATTCAGTATATTCTCTAAAATTCAAAATTAATCTCCTACTCTCCATACACTCCCACAATTTGTATCTTGTTTAAACTGTTGTTATGTCACCATATTGTTTGCTCCTGGTGGAATCTCCTTAACCTTAAAACAAAGGAGGGTTTTTTGTTTGTTTTTTAACTTTCAGTAATATTCTTAAACACACAAAAGTAGGGACGTTTTAATGTCAGATCCCATCAAAGCTCCCTTTTCTGTTTCACAACAGATAATCTCCTCTAAAATAAGTGTACATTGTACAATTCACCATGCCCCTACATTCCCTTTAAAGCACTGCTAGTTACAAATATCACCAGAGAAATAAAACTTCCTCACTTGACATGCTTAAATATTATGATGCCAAGCAAGATGAAAGTAAGCATTGAAGATACGGTACTATCTTTCCAAAAACAGAATATTACCTTAAGCCATTTATCAACACACTTGGCATGAAACTCGTGGTTACACGGTAAAACTCTAAGTAGTTGTCTCGACTCAAAGTCACACATGCACACTACACACCTAGAAGAGAGATTGTGAAATACCTTATTTAACAAGAGCAACAACAACCTTTGAAAAAAAAGCAAGGGTGAGCTGAAAAGTTTGGCCTGCTGACTAACAATTAAAAATAAAAAGCAAATAAAACAGAATTTCCTTTTTCAAGTGGTATCTTATTTTTGAGGAAAACCTTTTATTCATTGCTTCGTTGCTGCCTCCTTCATAATGATTAACTTCCAAATTGTTTCATGTGTGTGAGATCAGGGCTTCAGACAGGATTAGGGCTGTGCAGCAATGCAGGTTTGGATCATGATCACTTTGAAATATGTAATTCAGAAGTGCTTCATCAACATACTTGCTGCCATGAACAGACTTCATTTTCCATTAAGGTTTAGCAGAAAGGATTTCTCCTGCAGTTAAGACTAACAGGACACTGATTCATGTGTGTTAATGCATCTTCCAAAATAGCACACACTATAATATTTATTAATTGAACCTGTGTGACAATATCAAGTCATGGTATTGTCCATGTGCAATAATGAAGCATTTATTGTTCAGTCATGTACTATACGAAACTTTTCCACTAACCCTGATGTATCTGTCTGAAAATGCAATTCTATTTCTAGGCAGATATTTCACTATGAAAGAAATGTTTAAACATATATATCCCTGCCAGAATTGCTGTAATTTTATAACACACTGTAGTTGTACTGTGTACTGCCAAATCTGTAAAACAAGTCATTTATTATATTAATCTACTGCAAAATATATTTTAAATGATCTTATTAATGCTCTGAGTGTTCAAAGCTCAAATCATTTCAGTGTGTTACCTCAGCAATCCTTACTACCACCCTGTAAATTATGTTAATGAATCTGTGAAGATTCTCAGTCATCCAGGTGAGGTTATCTGGAAGCAGAGCCATGACAACTGGACTTATTAGGTTGAAACATTTCGCTACTCATCCAATTAGCTTCTTGAAGAAGCTACTTGGATGAGTAACAAAATGTTTCAACTTAATAAGAATGAAGTCCAGTTGCCATGGCTCTACTTCCAGATACAGTGGACCCTTGACTTACAGACGGTTGACTTACAGACTTTTTGAGTTACAGACTTCTCTGGCCGCAAAATTTAGGTTTGACTTGCAGCCTGAGATTTGACTTACAGACCAGAAAAAAACCAAAATGGAACAAAAACGGCCTGTTACGGGATTAATCGGTTTTCAATGCACTGTAGGTCAATGGAGACTTCACTTACAGACTTTTTGACTTGAGAACCGCCTTCCAATATGGATTAAGTTCTCAAGTCAAGACCCCACTGTATGTGAATGAAGAGTGAAAGAAAAGAGGTAATGATTTGCCGAAGATCACAGAGTAAGTCTGTGGGCAAGATGAATTTTGTACTGCTGATAATTTATACTCATAGCATCTATACCTGTTTCACCAGCAAGGCAACTTCTTGCTGCTTCTCCACAAACCACAATTTACAAACCACTCAGGATTGCTTGTTGATGTATTATAAAAATCAAAACAAAAATGTATTTTACACAGAAAGGAAGCATCAGGAATCTTGCCATACAACTAACTCGCTTCAGACAGGAAGATGTGGTGATAGAGACCCTGTAGCTACTGAGGAACAGGGGAGTGCTATGTTTTATTGTTGTTGTTGTTTTACTGAGGCTCCCTTCTCTTATTACAAATGGCAACATGAAAAGACAGAGAGGGAATGCATCAGTTCTATGAGTGAATGTTGTTTGAACATGCATTCAAGGTGATAAGAGGTGGCACTCACAACATCGGAGCCATGTACTGCAAACTGTGGCTTGGTTTAGGTGGTAAAAGTGAGCCACACCACAAATATCCACCAAGAAAAAAAATAAGGTATGCATGTGATGATTACCTTTCAAATTCAGAATTCTAGATAGTGAGAGAGAAAACACTTCTATATATCACTTTCTATTGCTTATTACTGCCCCCCCAAAAGAAACAGGTGGGGCATTATTTTTGATAAAGATACAGTGACTACAATTCAAACAAAAAAGTTCCTTATTTCTGTATATCCTATTAGGACTGTTTTTTTTTTTTTGCCTTTTAAAAAGACACCATCCTATGTCAACTCGTTTTGCAATTTCCGTATTTCAGAAGTACATAATCATCTGGCATGCAGATGGAATGGTTCCTGTTCTAAGGGACTGGCATGGCTCTTGCACCCAATTTACTGCTTTTCCAAGCAACTCCAATAACATTAAATAAAAGTAATAAATCTCAGCAACTATGCTATCTCTGTAACATCCAAAATGATCCTTAAGAGTGGAGCACCGTATATGGAAAATAGGGTTCATCTGGGTAAAAATACCAAACCCCTGGGAACTCTAGTGATTTCAGCTTGACTGTTATCTCAAACTCAGATTTTTTTTTAATTTTAAAAAGCCCTTACTCTCCAGTTAACAAACATCTGAACTGCAAAACAATTTACAAAATCAATCAAAATACAGTTGCTTGCTATATTAGACTTCAGTCAATCAGGGTGAAGTGACAAGACTTCATACAAAAGCTTTTACAATAGAACTAAGTACTTACAAAGTTTGCTCCGACTGATGGTTATTTGGGTTAAACCTGTAAGAAGGCAGTTGCTCGATATCTGCTTTTGTTAGTCCTCTTGGTTTGGCCTCTCCTAATCTTTCTGCCAAGTTCAGCAACGCCTGCAAAAGACATCCGCATTAGTTTGTTTTCTGCAAGTGCTTTTTAAAAATATTACTTCATTATCAGGGATATCTAGCAAGCCAGAGTTATGCAAATTCAAATATCATGGAAATCTGCCTAACTTATCATACTAAATTTCTTCTCTATTCAAATATGAATTGTCTGTGACTGTATGCAGGCCTAACAAACAAGGCCTTGCGCAGAGAAAAAACCCCAAAGAGCGATAAGGAAATGTTTAGCCCTCAGCACAAAAAATAATTATGTCCCATCAGGTTTCTTCAGACTTATGGTGATTCTCCTAACGTTTTCCAGATATGAAGAACTCAGGAGGAGTCTACCAGGCCTTCCTTCTGGTACTGCTCTGAGACCACCCAGCTTGCTTAAGGCCACACAGGTAGCAGGGCACATAATCCCATCGGAGATGTGATAATATCTGGCCTTTTTCTTGCCATGCACAGTGCTGATATGAACTCCTGACCCACAGCTCTGTAGCCAGGTGCTTCAACTCACTGAGCATATACATATAACCAATTTCAAATCTTTTGCACGACAGTCATACAACACAGTCCAGGAGCTACCAGTAACCTCATGGGAGGGGTTTATAAAAAGTGTAAGGGGCACACTGGAAAAAGAAAGATCAGCTACAAAAACTGACGTTTGCTCACATAGTCACTGGGTATCACTCAAAATATACAGAAAATAAACTTCAAGTTCCAAGAAACCTAATCAAAAGCTACTCTTTTTCATACATCTGTATAATATTAACCAACCTCATAGTTTTCCACTTCACCGTCTTCTACATCTAGCTCAAAACTGAAGGCTGGGCCCACTGCAGGTGGCACTGGAAGCATTGATCTAAGGAAAAGAGAGCCACAATCAGGATCTGATACCAGCAAAACAAGAAAATGAGAAGGATTGATTTTGGAGCTCCGCCTGTAGATTTTTAAACCTGAAAAAAAAAAAAACTATTCTAATTCAATAGTAAATCAAACAAATGTAAAATAAATGTAAAATAAATTATAAAATAAAACTAGATCTGCCATTTTACAAATGGTTATGTTTCCATTTCTCTATACAAAATAAACCCATTGTATTAAAACAGTATGTTCCTCTGTGGGTACCATTATCCCCATTTACTTTTGGTAAAATAATTTCATCTCTCATCAAGCTATGGATATCAAGTCACTGGTGACTTACAGCACGTATGGCAATAGGCTAGGATGGTACGGAGGTGGCGGTATTGGCTGTTGGGATCGGTATCGGCTGCGTCCTGTGAGTCTCCGAGGCATAAAGGGTGGATAAGGCTAATAGAAGCAGGAAAAGAAATGTTTCAGTAGTCTAGCAGTTGCAAGCAAGTCTAGTCAGGTGTCCAGCATGTTAGATTTTTTTAAAACTTCTAACAGCTTCCAACACAAGGTATATTTCATTGACCCAATTTCTGACTTTTAAATGGTGATGACTTAGATTTGTGAAATAATCTTTCCCTTATTCTATGAACAAACGTTTGCTAATTTTTTTTTCCATTTCTAACTATGACACATTTTAGCTTTCTAAATTTGAATTAGCTCAAAACTTGGGTGGAATCTTATTATATAAATACACTAAGATGCTGGTGTTGTTTTTCTTGTCACATCTCAAGTCATATAGTTTTCTGGTGACAAGGAAGACCAGTGCTGACTTCTTAATTGGCAGCAGTTTATCTCTGAAAGTTACACTGGTGGAGTTATGCCAGTGTTTATAACTAACAGGATTCTAGCCATTGTTTAAAAAAGCAACAACAACCCAGAATGCATACTAGAAGCAGAATTTACAAAAACGAACTGTTTAATAAATCAAGGTAAAAGGCTGAACACTGCAACTTACTACTCCAAACGACACTTCTTGGTGTAAAGGATCATGTGCTAAGAACTGGAGAGGGGTTGAAGGTGCCAACGTTGGTGGATGGGCTGAAGGCGGATAGGTAAAGCCACCCACAGGAAGATGGTCTCCAAGCAATTCTACTTCATTTTCTATCCTTTGAAGAGGCTAAGAAAAAAAACACAAAAAAGCCAGGCTACATTTAGTGTCTGAAAGCTATCATCTGTTCTATTTGCTAAAAAAATATACGATGCAACTTTTAAAATATCATTGTTTATGCAGTATGTGCCCTTCTGGGAATGTTTATGTCTTCCACTTTCCATATCTTTAAGTGATGACACCCTGATATTTATCTATGTAAGACTGCAATGGCATTTCCTATCCCTCTTTTCATGGGAGGAAATTTTTTCATGCATATGGCAGGGGGCCAAGAAGCCATTTCTCAGGGTATATTCAACCCACTTAAAAAGTTGTCTATTTCATTACTTATTAGATTCATAATCTGTAATTGGAGATCAAATTGAGGATTATGGGAATCCCTTTTCTAAATTAAAGGTAGAAAGCTGTCCCTCAACCATAATTGCTAGCTAGATAAATGGAATCATTAAAAAGATGACAACTATTTGATCCACTGCCAAATTTTGTGCATTTTCTTTGAGTTGCCACTGTTGGAAAGATTCTGGAAAGATTTAAATCACAGTCTTGCCACAATAGATACCTTTCTATTAAGCCTTACAAGTGAAGATTCTAGTAATCAGAGACTGGGTGGGTATGACAGATTCCAAAATCTATACAAACTAGTTAAGTTCAGGGTACAGTTTCTTAAAATGTATTTGCTGTAACCTTTTCATTTTCCTTTATTTAAACTACACCCACAATTAAACCACACTGGATTAGCTTTTTGTTGCTGTTTAGACGTTAAGTCGCGTCCGACTCTTCGTCACCCCATGGACCAGAGCACGCCAGGCTGTCCTGTCTTCCACTGCCTCCCGGAGTTGGGTCAGATTCATGTTGGTAGCTTCGATGACACTGTCCAACCATCTCATCCTCTGTTGTCCTATCATCTCCTCTTGCCTTCACACTTTCCTAACATCAGGGTCTTTTTCAGGGAGTCTTCTCTTCTCATGAGATCGTCATAGTACTGAAGCCTCAGCTTCAGGATCTGTCATTCCTGTGATCACTCAGGGTTGATTTCCTTCAAAATGGATAGGTTTGTTCTCCTTGCAATCCAGGGGACTCTCAAGAGTCTCCTCCAGCACCACAGTTCAAAAGCATCAATTCTTCGGCAGTCAGCTTTCTTTATCGTCCAGCTCTCACTTCCATACATCACAACTGGAAAAACCATAGCTTTGACTATGTGGACCTTTGTCAGCAAGGTGATGTCTTTTCTTTTTAAGATACTGTCTAGGTTTCTCATTGCTTTCCTCCCAAGAAGCAGGCGTCTTTTAATTTTGTGGCTGCTGTCACCATCTGCAGTGATCATGGAGCCCAAGAAAGTAAAATCTGTCACTGCCTCCAGATCTTCCCCTTCTATTTGTCAGGGGGTGATGGGACCAGTGGCCATGATTTTAGGTTTTTTTGATATTGAGCTTCAGACCATTTTTGTCACTCTCCTCTTTCACCCTCATTAAGAGATTCTTTAATTCCTGGCTTGACTGGCAGATAATATATTTGTTATACAACTGCAAGGAGCTTCAATACCTCAAGAATTACAAAAAGGCCCATATGAGAAGACCTTATATAACCAGTTTAGCCACTGCACTTTAAACTGGGGTGTGTGTTAGGGTTCTGGTGCAAAGCTGTCCTAAAAAGAATCTGGAACAGATACCAAAGACTGGCTCAACTATATTTAAATTAAAAAAAAAAAACCAAAACGCTGTGGTTTTTATCTCTGATAAAAATTTTGCTGAAATGTGTTTGGCTGTGCTGCATTTATATTTTTATTGCACAGAACTCACTGTATATTTTTGTACAAGGATATACATCTTTATGTGTTTTGGATACCACTTCTTCCTGGCAGCTGGACAGGTACATGACAGCACGCACGTTCTCGTTTGTATTACATTATCTTACTGAAAGCCAAACTGGTCTCAGAAGAGATCAATGGGAAGCTATCCATCTAGAATAGGTGATTAAAAGCAAATTCTGATTTCAGGGATTTCCTAAAAACCAGTGTGTACTAACATTTAAAACATTTCACAACTAAGTAGTCCCTTTATGTGAGTTGAAGATTACTGTTCTACATACGTACAATAACTTTTTAAAAAAAGAAACACCAGACTTTCCAAAAGCAGGAATCAACTATTATTTAGTAAACAACTATTCCCTCACAAAAAGTATCGAAAAATGTCCACAATCTTTGATTTAGAAATGTTTAATCTCTATCCTGACTTGCATTTTAGCTTGAGTATTCTGGCAAAACACTTTTTTCTTTCAAAAAGCTTCCTTAGCCAGTGTTTTGAATAGCTATTAAACACAAAAGAAGCAGCTGCAGGGATCCATTTTACTAGTTCCAGGTTTTCGTTTTAAATATGTCACAGAGTCACAGTTAATCACAATGCTGTGATGGCAGCCATTTTATTCTGTAAAAAAATTATTTCTTGAAGCCAACTGGAAAAGCTGGGGCTGCAAGAAAATACTTACATTGGTCAAAATTCTGTTGCTTAGTACAGTAAACTGCTCTGGAGTAAGCCTACTGGCTCAGTAGGAATTTGGCAAGTCAACTCCTCTCCATGCTCCATTGATTCAAATAGACCTACTCTAAGTGCTACTTACTATGGTAAAGTAAGTTGTTGTTTTGACTTGCATAATGCCACATAATGCTAGTGCACTCTGGGTGGTTGGTTCACAATGTAATTATGCAAGAAACCCTTTGCCATCCAGTGAGCTGGGTACTAATTGTACCGACCTCAGAAGTGTGGAAAGTTGAGCCAGCTACCTGAATCCATTACAGTTAGAGCAGACCCATCTGAAATCAATGGGACTCATAGAGGAGTTGACTTAACAAATTCCCATTGTTTCAATGAACCTACTCCAGTGTAAGTTACTACAGAAAGAAACATAATTTAGGCCATTATCTCCTACCTCCTCTATCACTTTCCAGCTAACAATGACCTGCAAATATACAATATCACCTTTCAAAAAAACTCTTTGTTCACAAATGCACTTAAGGCTCAAAACTGATTGAAAAATGGCCAATCAAGGATGTTGAGAATCAGTTTCTTATTTTAAAATGGTGAAGGCTAGATCAGATTCTACAAGCCATAGAAAAGTCCACTGTGAATTAAAGGAAAAAAACCCAACAACCCTCAAGACAGGTTCACATGCTCAGTTCCTCTTCCTTACTGTCAACTGAAGTCAACTGTTCTTAAATGGCAGAATCAAGTAACAGGAGAAACTTAGTGTTTTTTAAATTTATTACTCAAGATACCTACCGACCGTGATTGCTGCGTTTGAAAGGGAACAAACTGGCCTGGAGGTGGCAGGTGTGGAGCATGATGTGGGGAGAGGTGCGGAGGATGCAAAAGAAGTGGCTCACTAGAAATAAGGGGTGGGAAAGCTGCATATGGAACAGGCAAGTGTTGAACAGAACACGCCTGAAGCATCTGCAGGGAAAAAAAAAGAAAAAGAAAAAGAGATTTGTAACTTTGTGCGATATATATGATTTGGATGCTCTTAGCATTCATAAGAGGCAACTTAACATTCATAGGGAGCATCACCATAAAACAAAACATGATAAATTTACATTACAAGTACTATTATCACAAAAGAGACTGTTCCCACCATCCCCCGCCAACTAAAAGAGGCAGAATAAATTGTGCCAACGAAGAGACAAAATATTCAAGATTGAACTTGAAAGTCTGTAGAACTCATATGTTCTTGAAAGACAATTTGGGTTTCCTGAGATTACAATTTTGATTTTCTTTCCTGTTCAAAGTAGATATACAATCTTATCTTAGAAGTACAGTGTTGCACAGTTTCAGTTTGCAAGTTGTCTGTGCCAACTTCTCTGCACATATATGTTATGTGCAGGAAGTTTGGAGGAAGAATGGCTGACTGGCTGCAAGGCAAAATAGTAAAATCACATTCTGTAAACCTCCTTATGCCGGGAATGTTAAATCTCCTTTGAGATCATACCAGCCGCTATACAATCATTTACATTTTATTCTGTTTTGGGGTCCCTTACAAATACTATGATAATCTAAATGCTGTATTACCAAATTAAATTCAATGAAGACATACTAATAGATTTTATCCCACCGAATAGTTCATCTTATAATAATTCATACAGTGATAAAGGCTATCCCCATAGACAAGCTAACAGTATGAAATAGTCAGCTAAGTATATTAGATACAAAACAAAAGTACCTGGAAAGTCAGAGGGGAACAAGTCATACAGAAAGATGGGTTCAGGTCAGAGGCAGACAAATTCTGGAGCTAGGGAGACACCCCTAGAGCTCAATTTGCATCCTACCCTCAGGGATTAATTTACCATTGCTGCTGTAGCAGCAACATTTCTTTACATATGAACAAGGTACCAGCATAGGTGGGTCACACTTTCCTTAAATAAGAAACACACTCTAGGAAATGAACAGGAAATACAATTCTTACTTAAAAAAAAACTAAGTGGGAGCCCCAATGTGTTGGGTAGATTTGCCAGTGCCAATTCTATGACGGCAAAAATCACTACTGTTAAACCATAAACAGAATATGAGCAGAGAATACACTCGCTTTCTAAGGGGAATCATGAAGCTTCTAGGACTGCAATTCTCCTTATTAAAAAAGCATGCAATATCCTCGCAGCAGTAGCTGTGGTAAAAGAGGTAACGGAAAAATCTGAAAAAACATAGTTTTATGTATGGCTCTCCCTAGATATTTCCAATTTAAAAAGAACATGTACTAAGGGGCTAGCCATACTTTTATGAAATGGAACACTCATCACAAAGACAGACAAAAAAATCTGTTAACATTTGGTTCTTAATTAATTATATTCTGGAGCATACAACAAACATAATGTCTTCATGAAGTACTCTTACCTGAAGGCTAAAATCCTACTACTTTGGAGTAAGCCTATGTTGAATTCAGCTGTAAGTACACCCCTTTGAATTTATCCCATATCTAAGGTAATTTTAATTATTCACTGTTAAAATCAGTAAGAGTACTTACAGGGGGAGGCACACTGCAGACAGGAAGATGCTGTCCACTGAAAACCACAGAACACCCTGGGACTTGCTGTGTGTTGCAAGCTGGTATATGCTGACCTGTGCAAAGTGGAATCCCATGTGGTGCCACTGTGGTCACAGTGTACGAAACAGGGACGGTGCCCTGGTGGATCTGTAAAGAACAAGGTCAGGAGCTTTCAGCAGAACAAAACAGAAGGACAGACATTTCAAATTAAATATAAAAGCATTTTTTTAAATGCATAAATTCTAGTTTCCATAAAACCACCATTTATAGTTGGGACATTCATGTCATTTCCTGGGCAAATACTGTCAACTGGTCACATATTTGCCTAATCAAATAATGTATTATTATGTATTAGGTGAAAGTCAAGAATATCTTTGTATAGAACTCTTTTTGTAATAAGTTGAATGAAATGGCAGAAGGCTTCCCAGCCATGCAGGCATTACACATAAATAGTCTTTCAATGACACTGTACCTCTTGCCACTTGCTCTGCGAGCTAAGTTTTATGACCTAGTTGCTCTTACTAACTGTATTTTGGAATTGTAGGCACCTCTGAATAAGAACACAAGATTCAAGAGGAAGCAGGAATTGTACACACAACACAGATTTTTGACCAACCAAATGCTCGCGTTCAATTGAATTATTCGTGGAACCAAATAACGTGACTTTAAAAAAAAACCTTAATCACAATAAGAAACATTTAGATATTTATATACCAAATAGGTTCTAGATGTCTACACTGTGACATTTTCAGTTGTTTATGGCTTAAGACTTCATGCAGTCATTTTACTGTATACATCTGGAGAGTAATGAAAGAATTTTCTGGAGGGTGAGAGATAAGCCGATCCTTTGGCTCGAAAAGTTACACCAGCATAAGTTCACTGGTATAAACTTTACTACTGAACTGCTACAAGAAGTCAGTGTATGCATTTACTGTCACATGCCAAGTCATGTGACTGGTTAATAACAGCAAATGTTTACATTGACATCTGAACTGGTGGCAATTCACTACTGAGCTTCACATAATGGACTTAGTACAGTAATAGCAGGCAAAAGATTATGAATTTTACATGAAACAGCTTTTAGCAGAAGCGTGTCCAAAGAAAGAGACTGTGAACAGCTCAATATTCAGAATTATATAATTAACAGCCCCGAAGTATGTTTTTACCACTTATTTCAGAAACCAAATCCACTCTACTTGTTGGCTCCACATGCAATACTTATACTTAAATATATATCTGCACATTTAAGAAAACCAAAGTTCTCATAAACTCCAGGAATTATTTTTATTAATGTGAGTTCTTCAACTTTTAAGAAGCTTCCACTGAGGGCAGATTACTCTGCCAGTTCTCTGCAACAAGGAGGAAAAGAATAGTTTGCATCAGCATTAGAACTAGCCAAAAAGAGTTCTAAAGACTCAGGAGCAGTACACCTGAAGCACTGACACAAACAGAACAGAATCACAAGGGAATGACCTGTTCTAATGAAGCTAGCCAAATTCTTATTTTTTAAATATTCACTAAACCTTCTGGGATGTAAAAATGAAGAGTGCTCTACAATTTTAAACCACAAAAGTGAAACCCTACTAAATGACTGGGCACTACGACTTCAAATTTTCTCATACCTGTTCATGAATGTCAACCATCACTGCATTCTGCTGTGGCGGATGAGCAGCTGGATGCAACATACGGGGAGATACATTCGGTGGATGGAAGGCTCGGGGTTCTTCTATTGCTTGTTGCTGTCCGTAAGGAAGATGGTAGTTTTCATCTTGACTAATGGAATTATGTTGAGACAATCGGTCTCTTCTTGCTCTCTGGCGTCTTACAGGAGGGCTGGAAATAACAGAATTGAAAAAAAGTTTTGTCAACGTAGACATGAGATTTCCCATATGAATTTTATACATGCATTCCTAAATCTATATAACTGGAAAGGTATGGACACTTACATAATTTCCTTACAATGCAAACAGCCGACTGGAAAACATGTTAAAGCTGTTTAGAAAAACTTGCCACCTGGCAGCTGTAATCAAGTCTAGGTTAGACAGCCATCTGCAATTGCCAGCCACAAGGAAATGCCAATATCCCCACACTATCCTTTCCTCTTGTGCTACTGAGGAGAAACGGTCAAGCTGACCTCAGCACACAGGCTGGAAGTCAGACAACTTTTTCCCTCTGTGTTGACCGCTGCCAGCTGGCAAGGTTTTAAGTGGCCATTGTGTAAAACTGGTTGTTTTCTTTCCCCACTGTATTCTGAATGTGTAATGTGAACTCTTATAAACAGTTTTTAACAGTGATTGGACTGATGGAAAAGCAAGGTATAAAAGGAATAGTACTGATTGGCAGACTTTTTTCAAATCACTAGGCTCAGTCCACACAACCTTTCAAGTTTGTAGTAGCCACAATTTTTGGTCATCCCAGGCCAATTTTAACTTCAGATCACCCTAGACTCAACTCATGTAGAACCTGATCAATGCTGCTGGACAACAGCTGTGCTCAAACCAGTGAGATGGAATATAACCTTTCAAGAACATCAAAACATGATGAAATGTTAGCTTTGGATGATCAAAAGCTGCTTCTACTACACTCTTAAGGTATCATGACAATAAATTCTCAGAACAGCTTCAAGGGAACAGGATGGTATAATAGGGAAAACAGCAGACTGATTAAGGAGAATGAGGCTCAGTTCCTTTCTCCTCCATAAGCTGAGTAACCTTGCAAAAGCCCTTGTATCTTAACCAAACATACCTCATTGTGATGATAAATTAAATAATCCACAGTTGTGCTATGTTGAGTTACTTGAAAAAAAGACATGATACAAATGTGAAGGTACAAAAAAAATCCAAAGAAGGGTACAAATGCCCCTGCTCTTGATTACTACAAGTCCTACAAAGAAGATTAATTTTCTTTAGTCTTTATATAACACTAATTCTATCCTTGAGCCTGTCATAAAAGCTACAAATAATTTAAGATGTGGTGAGATGATCATGATTCATAACAATGTGGACAGATCCTAATAAACAGCACAGAATTAGCTACATAAAGTTGCAACTTCCCTCAATAACCACAGCAACCAATTTTACCAACGAGACTAGCCTTGACATAGGATATCTCCCTTCAGATTTTTGTTCTTTTCACTGCTAACGTCTCAGCTCTGACGCTTGCTGGATGACTGCAGCATCATATTCTTTCACCTACACCTAGTCCATAGTAGCTATGAAAAAAAAAGGCAATGCAACACACCTCACTCTTTACAGAAAAGTGGAATAAAGCTACAGATGTAGCGGCATCTAAATCTAAGCAAGCAAAATAAATATAAGTTTACTGCACTTTAGAGGGGTCTCTGACACACCTGTAGAGAAATTTAATCAGAAATAAGGTGAAACTGTCTGCAATAAAAAAAATCTTCCATTCCTGGCAATCACTTCATAACTTTTAGGAACCAGCAGTCTCAAACATGGGTACTGGAAAATACACATATCACTACCCCCAAATAACTTTAATTAACAGTCATAAATCCAAATCTCAGGTGTTTATTTTAAATTAACAGCTTGATATTGTTAAGAAGGCAAAAGATCACTGAATACTTGCCTCCTTCTATTGCGCGCCGGTGTGTTGCATCGTTCCCCTGAGAAATGATGTTGGCTTGGTCGTGCTGAAGGAGGCTGCCTATTTGATGTCATCTCCCATGGTCGCATTGGCGGTGATGGGGCTGGTGATGCTGCTGTATATTCAAAGACTGAATGAGAAAGGCGCTGTCTCTTGGGACTTGGACTGTCTTCACTCTGTGTGCCAGTGTAATAAAACAAATAAATCTACAAGAAGTGGGTATCCCAGAACAGCTTTTATGAAACTATCACTTTAACAAAATCAAGACTAAACATTTCCAAAGAATAAATCAAAAACTAAATAGCAAATTATTTCATTACTTCAGTAAGAGATTATAGGTTACTATTATCACTGTCCATAAAGCTTCTCTTTTGATAACCTATTGCGAAAACCTTCCCTCCAATTCTGCAGAAAATTCAGCAAAGGGATCAGGGTATTAATTTAGAAACAGCAATACATTTACTCATTTTTCGAAACATGCTTGCATAAGCACACTTTTCATGTCAATCTGTATTTCTAAGGATCTAAGTTTGTGAATTATTAAAGAAGCTGAAGCCGGATAGTTTCAGACCAACACATATACAGTATTCGCTACCCACTAGACAGATTTATACTACTGCTAGGTTTTGGCCTAAGTTAGCACAGATATACACCTTATATTTTATTCCTTTGTTAATGTAATTTTTATACGTTTTGAAAAGTAGCCAACTAAACACAAGTTTTCATTCAGTAGTAAGAGGTGGCTTATAATACAGCTTTTAAAACAAGTGATTGTTACCCACATGTTTATCAAAATTTCAAGTTGTCTACATATACAAAAACCAAATCAAAATAATTATCTGGCTTGCTGTCACCATGAGCCTTATTTTATTCATCTTCCTTGAGTCTGACCCACAGGTCCATTTCATCCTAATCTATGATAAATTATATTATTAGCACTAGCCTTTTCTTTCAGACTCTGCTGTATGAAAATAGAGAAAAAGGAATATAGGAGGAAGCAAGACAACAGTGCTCTATTCTGGCTTCATAGGTTACATTGCAACCATGAGGATCAATGGATGACATCAGCCTTGGCTAGAAAAGCTGGATGGCAAGCAACTTTGGTTCATTTATCAAAGCATGGGAAAAATACAAACATTTCATATGCAACCTCTCCTTTAACAGAAAGTAAAATCTATTTATGGAGCTCCTACACATGCAAGGATTTTCCAGTCTCCAAATTATTCTTCATATTCGTCAAACCTAAGCTATATTTCAAATGTTATTTCAGCTGATATGTAAATATGTAAAGGTCTTTATACACTTAATGTAATTTCATATCAGACCTCCGTGGGTGCCTGGACCCCCAAAACCACTGGAGAGCACAGCCTACCGATAGATTCTACTTTCTTTGAAAACAAGATATTTGGAAAACAGCTGTCTTGTTTTAAAGCAGAACTTCACTTCAGAAACATGATTCTGCACTGAAGCCAAGCTCCCCACATGCCTTGTTTTCAAAGAAAACTTGTGGTTTTAAAAATCCACATGCGTGTCCTTTATCCCTTCTTTACACAAAAGATAGTAACTTCAAAACACCCCAAGCACTAATTATGTAATATAAAACTGGAAATTTGGGTGAGGTGCATTTTGTCTTCCAATCCAGCTTGAGGTTTTCAGTTGGGCAGAACACAAGATTTTCTTCTATGTCAACATTCACTGCAGCAAACCAACTGACAAAGAGACCCAATGGGCTTTGAAAATGTTTACTTTGGCACAGAAAAATTTCCAATATTCAGAGGTTCTCTAAATTTTAAGTTCAAATATCCATACAGCTCAATAATACTCTAAAAAGAAACTGTTTAAGTTTTGCTCCAAATTTTCCCTGAACTCCTCTCTCACCAAAATGTTTTTGAACTCCCAAGGATTTAATGTTGTGCTCTTTTCTACTTGAAGCAGTATCCCATTTGTAGCCAAAATACAATCTAAGGTTTGAGTCAGAACCTTGGCTAACCTGATTTATGCTTACTAATCCTTTACACTTAACTTTCACCTTATTCCTAATATATCTCCAATGTGCTCCCCTAAAAATGCTTGCCAGTAAAGCTTAAAAATGGCACCTCCAGGGTACTGGGTTTGTTCTCTGCCAGGCCACAGACCTAAGCATGGCCACTGGTTATGTCTTCCTTTCAATGTCAACAAGTGGCAAGAGGAAAGGATGGTAGCAAAAAGACCAACTCTAGATGACAACTGTCCAAATCCTGGTGCTGATTCTATTAAGACACAAGAGACCTATTGTAAAAAGATCTACTGTAAAGAGCAATGACCAGAATAATATGTATTGAAAATTAGTCAGAAAGCACACTTTAATACACAGTGAGCAGTGGCACTATAATGAAGGAATACTAAGGACAGGTTAATGGTTGTGAGCCAGTAGCAAAGAAAGCCATTTCATGGTGCTGGCCCAGTCATGGAATAACTATGCAGAACACCACAAATAATCAGGTGAGGCAGCATTCTAGTTTTCAGTAACTGAACTTCAAATAAAGCACTATCCAGTTGAGATATGTATGCATATATGTATGCACGCACTGTTTCCCCAAAAATAAGACCTAACCTGAAAATAAGCCCTGGTATGATTTTTTCAGGATGCTCATAATATAAGCCCTACCCCCAAAATAAGCCCGTTAAGTGAAACCCCGCCCTCCACTACTGTGCAGCATTGTGCAGCAACCAGAAGATGACATGACTGTATTTGAATAAATGTAGATTTTTGTACATGAAAAAAAAACATCCTCTGAAAATAAGCCCTAATGCATTTTTGGAGTAAAAATTAATATAAGACCCTGTCTTATTTTCAGGGAAACATGGTATGAGCAGAGTATTTCAATAACAGGAGACAAAAAACATAGTTAATAAGATCCCTCAGAAGTCCTGCTGTATAGAAGACGAAGAGACCAGAATCCTATAGGGAGAAACCACGCCTAAAGGGCTAATTGTACAAGCCACTTGTTGTGTAATGATATCCTGCTTGTGCAATTACCCTCCTTTGCGCAGGTTTTCCCAACAAGATTCTGGCCTTTATGTTTTCACTCTTTACAAGATTGTTTCTGAGAAGCAAGACCCAGGACTTTACTCCAGAATCAACTATGCTTCAGATTGCTTTTTTTAATTGAGCAGCAGCAACGGCACCCACATATCCTGCATGGTAAAATTTCTGAAACTGAAGATTGTGAGATGGCATCAGGCTCAATTAGTCACAAGAGAAATGTATGCAGAAGCTTATAGTTGATAAAAAGGTAAAGGTTCCCCTTGACATTTAGTCAGTCGTGTCCAACTCTAGGGGGCGGTGCTCATCCCCATTTCCAAGCCTTTAGAGCCAGCGTTTGTCCGAAGACAGTTTCCGTTGTCACGTGGCCAGCACGGCTATACACGGAACACTGTTTACCTTCCCACCGAGGTGGTCCCTATTTATCTACTCGCATTTGCATGCTTTTGAACTGCTAGGATGGTGAGGAGCTGGGACAAAGCGATGGGAGCTCACTCCATCGTGTGGATTCGATCTTATGACTGCTGGTCTTCTGAGCCTGCAGCACACAAAGGCTTCTGCAGTTTAGCCCGCAGCGCCACATCATCCTACTAGAGTTGATAAACCAAGCCAATATTTTCAAACATCAATTTTCACTGAACTTGAAGGTTTAATGAGTGAGCTTCTTCCTCTCCCAAGGTTTTCATATCATTCAAGAGAGGCCAATAATTAAAACCACTCATAAGAATACTATAACAAATAATCATGTGCCATCAAGTCAATTTTGACTTATAGCAAACACTATGCAATTACATCAAATATATTTAATAGTAATTACTGTATTTTTTGCACCATAAGACTCACTTTTTTCCCACAAAACACGGGTGTGGAAAGTCTGTGCGTCTTATGGAGCGAAGAAAACAGATTATATTTTCCTGTTTTCTTCTCCTAAAAAATTGGTGCGTCTTATGGAAAGGTGCGTCTTATGGAGCGAAAAATACGGTACATAATTTTAAAAAAGCAAAATACACTACTATCTGTTAAACTCATGCAGCAAATACCAGCATACTTAAGTAACTTTGGGTCGTGTGGGTGGCATATAATGAGTGAGCTTCTTCCTCTCCCAAGGTTTTCATATCATTCAAGAGAGGCCAATAATTAAAACCACTCATAAGAATACTATAACAAATAATCATGTGCCATCAAGTCAATTTTGACTTATAGCAAACACTATGCAATTACATCAAATATATTTAATAGTAATTACTGTATTTTTTGCACCATAAGACTCACTTTTTTCCCACAAAACACGGGTGTGGAAAGTCTGTGCGTCTTATGGAGCGAAGAAAACAGATTATATTTTCCTGTTTTCTTCTCCTAAAAAATTGGTGCGTCTTATGGAAAGGTGCGTCTTATGGAGCGAAAAATACGGTACATAATTTTAAAAAAGCAAAATACACTACTATCTGTTAAACTCATGCAGCAAATACCAGCATAGTTAAGTACCTTTGGGTAGTGTGGGTGGCATATTAATTAATTAATTTAATTAATTAATTAATTAAATGTGCTGCTAACTTCCAAATAACTTGCACATAAAACTACAGTATCAGACACCTGCTGTATAAATAGTGATTGGTACTAACACAGTTAGCCATTCAGAAAACATTAATATGGGGAACTCTTTGTGAGAAGAGATCTCTTTATAATAACTTAGAAATCATCATGTAGCAGAGAAGAAGAAAAAACTGTTTCCACTGGAAATGGAATTCTGAAGTCACTTTGTGTGGATGTTCTTAAGTATACCTTGTTAGTACAATAAAGTATCATACTAATAATACTACTGACATCAAATAAAGCAAAATAGAGACTGCAAATAGTGTTCTAATTTTTTTTTTCAATGGGTTTCCCACTTTTAAAAATAATCAAGCTACTGGTCCTGACCAGATTTTAAACAAACATGGAGATAAAATCAAGCCTGAACTATCTCTGAAGGCAAAAATGTTGAAGCAGACTGTTCCATTACGGGCCGATCATAAGATTCTCTGGAAAAGATAATAAAGCAGGAGTCCCCAACCCCCAGTCCGCGGCCCACTGCCGGTCTGTGGCCTGGGCCGAACCGCGGAGAGATCTCCCACCCACCCCGCATGCACTCCCGACCCCACACAGCCCCCT